TTTTTTTTTCTTGTTTTATGATTTAGTTTTTTATTGGTGTTTCTTTTAACTTTTCAACTGTTTCTTTTCGAGATTATTTGACAAAAAGATAGACTTTTTTTTCAAAAAAAAAAAAAAAAAAGTTTAAGTAGAGAGCAGCTAGTTTGGATTGGAATAGCATTTAGATAAAAGAATGACCTGAAAAAGAAGGACATATTTGGAAAACTGTTTACTGGAAATACCGTATTAGGTAAGCATAGAAGTAAACGATTAAAATTTTGAAGATATGTACCTGTTGAATATAGATTTGTTAAAAATTTGATCTCTTTATCGCATGCTAACTGCTACATTACCAATTTTTTTCGCAACCCTTCGTCAGGAAACATCGGGGAACTATTGTGATCTAAATCTACTGTTTGGTAAGCCAATGCCGATAGTGACTGTTTTACGGGTTGCGCAAAACAGTAATCGATATGATGGCTCTTCATTGAACTTTCCATTCGGCAGTTTTGTTCACTATTTTGCTTGCAACTTTTTTTTTAAACTTTAGTTTGAGTTTACAGATTTCTGAAGAAGCAACTTGAAATTATAATCTTTTTATTACTTCGACCAGAAATTACGCTGTATTTTTTTTCTGCTTTATGCACTTCGCTTTTAACAAAAGCTAACCATATGGGATTTTATTTAAACATCTTTTGCAGTTGCTCGTTTTGCTGTTGTTGTTGTTGTTGTTGATGTGACGCAAATTATAAATAGTCGAGATAACCGCCTTATGTGCTTATATTCTGGTTATATTAGGATTTATTGTACTGCTGTGTAGGAGCTTATAGAGGACTTATAAAGGCTAATATTCAAAAAGCCAACAAAGAGTGAAAGCAGGCTGAGGGGAGAAAAACTATTTTTTCTCTTTCTGTAAAAAAAGATTTCTTTTTTTTTTTTGATTTATTCTTCATGGTTTTTCTCTTTTGACTTTTTTTACGATTGCTCTGCTTCTAAGTTTGTTATCTTTTTGTAACAAATTAAACATGACTGTTTTCTGCTTCTTTCAAGTATCCTAGTCGCTTATTTAAAAAATACCTTCTGTGTTTTCTCAAGAAAACTTTTTTCTGTTATGAACTTCAAGTTTAGTTTCATTTATAATCTTTTATTTATTCTTTTTGTTGCTTCTTCTTTCCTTTTAAGTAAAAAAAAGTGTTTGGAAGAAAAAATTTGTTTTCTATTCCAATGCTATTTTGAAATTTATTCCTTTGTGTGTTCTTTTTCCAATAACTTTCGGCATCTTATAATTATCAATTATTCATGCTATGTCATTTTTTGTATGATGTAAAAGAGTTGTTGTTATTTTTAATAGTTTTTAAACGTCGTAGTGTCCGGATTCTATACTTTAAGTCTAAAAAGCTATTCTTTTTTCAGTATAGTGGCCACCTTTTAAAAATGATTAAAAGATGCCTAGTATTTTTATTGCAGTTTAGTGAAAAGAAGGAGGAAAGGGGAGAGGAGGGGAACACATTTAAGCGCGCGGACTTCATGAATGATATACGTAAATCTTTACGTATCTGTATGAGCTGAGTTTAAAGTGTAACTTAGTAAACGTTGTGGTTTATTGCTACTTTTTTTATTTAAACCAACCATTAACTTAACCTATTTAACTTGTTATTAGTTAACTTGTTGAATTGTAAAGCTTTATTGTGGATATGATTGACGAAAATGGATTAGTTTGCTTAGACAGTGCTTTAATTACAGTAAGCGGTCTTTTTTTTGCCTCGCTTTGA